GGAACCCAAATTTCCTCAGGAATCGAATGGAATAGGTTTTAAGGCTCTACCTCTCATAGTTTCCGAGATAATCGCGAAAAACGAGATCGCAAAAAAAATTAATTTTATTTATCTGGTATAGGGTGTAAGAAGTGGAAAAACACAATTCTGAGCCGTCCATCTGCCTATACGGAACCCAAATTTCCTCAGGAATCGAATGGGATAGGTTTTAAGGCTCTATCTCTCATAGTTTCCGAGATAAACGCGAAAAACGAAATCGCAAAAAAAAAATAATTTAATTCATCTTGTATAGGGTGTAGGAAGTGGAAAAACGCAATTCTGAGCCGTCCATCTGCCTATACGGAACCCAAATTTCCTCAGGAATCGAATGGGATAGGTTTTAAGGCTCTATCTCTCATAGTTTCCGAGATAAACGCGAAAAACGAAATCGCCAAAAAAAAATAATCTAATTCATCTTGTATAGGGTGTAGAACGTGGAAAAATGTAATTCTGAGCCGTCCATCTTCCTATAGGGAACCCAAAAGTGGTTTTAAGGCTCTATCTCTCATAGTTTCCGAGATAATCGCGAAAAACGAAATCGCCAAAAAAAATTAATTTCATTTATCTTGTATAGGGTGTAGCAAGTGGAAAAACGCAATTCTGAGCCGTCCATCTGCCTATACGGAACCCAAATTTCCTCAGGAATCGAATGGAATAGGTTTTAAGGCTCTATCTCTCATAGTTTCCGAGATAATCGCGAAAAACGAAATCGCCAAAAAAAAATAATCTAATTCATCTTGTATAGGGTGTAGAACGTGGAAAAATGTAATTCTGAGCCGTCCATCTTCCTATAGGGAACCCAAAAGTGGTTTTAAGGCTCTATCTCTCATAGTTTCCGAGATAATCGCGAAAAACGAAATCGCCAAAAAAAAATAATTTAATTTATCTTGTATAGGGTCTAGGACGTGGAAGTGACAAATGAAAATGAATGTAGTACATTCAGGTACTCACTGAGTACAATCAATACTATAAGAAAGACAATCGATTTATCAAACTTCGACTCCAAGTTCGCACAGCTTTTCACTTTCCTTTCTCTTTTTTGTGATAAAAATTTGTTTTGCATTTTCATTTATATTTTTTTATGAAAGCAATACGAATCAAAAAGAAATCCAAATGGCGAAACGATGATTGTTTAAACAACAAAACCATCACTCATTGATATCGATACATATTAACTCATATATTCGGTAATTGCGTTGCTAAAATAATCCCTCGCGGTGCAGCAGTTGCAGTTTGGCGTCAATGCGCGGATGCATATTCAGAACGGGCCTCCTCATATTCTTATATGCCGCTCTGACTGACTAAACCTCTCTGTGAGTAGCGCACGAGGAGGGGCAGGGGGGGGGGCGGGCACAGGGTATGAGGTGCAGGGAAGGGAATGAGGGACCGGAGTGAGACGAAATTACAGAAACATGGTAGTTGGTGCCCCACTGCCTACCATCCAAAATGCACCAGTGTATATACGTGAATGTGAATGGAACTTGGTTGGCACCACGCCTGTTTATATTTAGCCACTGTGGGCGGTATAGCTGTCATGGATACGTATCATCGGCATAACTGAGAGCCCGTGCGCGCCCGATGAATAATGAATCTTCGGTTCTCATCGACTTGTGCATCACTGGGGGCCCCCCTCTTCTCACCGTAAATGACGGCACTCAGTGAATCAATCGTATGGCAATTATGAAAGACCGAAAATTCCACACTGAGAGGATTAAATAAGTCGTTGATACGAGTCAAATCGCGAATTTATCGGGATTGGATGTGATCGATAGGTAGATGACAAGTTGTGGAAATTTATGGAAAAATGTCCAGTGAACTGGGACTAGTAGTAACCGTGGCAGAGCGAGCATGCCACTGCACTGTATGAATAAACGTCTTCCTTATTCGACTAAAATAGACCCCAAACTTCATGTATATCTGGATCACAGCCAGATGGAGAGGAGAGTGAGAGAGGGAGAACAGGGGACCCTCGCAATTATCTCTTGCTACTTCGTTATTCTGAAGTTTTCAGAAGTTTGTCTGCTATCGTCAATCTATTCGTATTTCTTTTTGATTCGTATTGCTTTCAATCAAACAAAAACAATAATTGTCTTCGATTCGTATTTCTTTTTCATTCGTATGTCTTTCGAAAAAAAAATTTTTTTTTTCATTCGTAGTTGTTTTTGATTCGTATTGCTTTGAGAAAGATAAAAAGCATTGAAAAACACCTCAACATCTGACGTCTCAAATTACAACGTATGAAATAATTCTAAGGGTACAGATATAGAACTGGAAATCCTTTGATAATTCAACCAGTTAAATAGAATTCTAATTGCAACCTCTTGTTTCTGTTGGAATATTCCAGACGTATCCGAGTCACATGCCTGTGGACTCGCAGAAGCAAATGGAGATGCAACGGTTACAGAGTGAACACTTGAAGAGACAGCAGGAGCACATGATGCAGCACCATAATAATATACAAGAGCTACAGGCGCAGATAACAAAGGGACAGTTGAGTATGCCGAGCGCCCAATCACTCATGTTTCTACCGTTTCTCGAGCAACTACGTGGCTTACCAGTAGCATCTACTATGCCACCACCCACGTCAACTACCACTGGAAATAAGCATATCAATTCTATAGCTAATGTGAGTTCATTAGACCATTCAATTGCCAATCGTAATTTCAAAGTAATGAAAAGATCAACTCTACTTTCATTTAATTTTTGATTAATATCCCAGAATTTGAGCTAAATGAAACACCTTCATCAACGAAATAAATCTGCTTCAAAAATTTCAATGAAAATATTCAGCAAACAGCAGATTCTATGATTAACAAAAATTGCGGAAAACAGACTTCAGTTTTTGGTGAATATCTCCGAATCTAAAGCAGATAGCGAAAATCGTCTTAAGAGCTTTTTCATAGAGCAAAAAAAGATCTACAAAAAATGTCCTCTGAAGTTTTTCGCTATCTCTTCAAGATTCGGAGATATCCCCAAAAATCCAAAACCTCAATCGACCAATTTCATTTCAGATGATAAGTAGCCACAGAGAGTCTCAAAGTTGGGCGACAGCGCACCTAGCCCAGATGACGACGCACTTGGACAAAGAGACCTCCCCGACGCCAGTCTCCTCAGCGGTAGCGCCGACAGCGCCGCCCCTCCAAGACCCGGATGCCCCCCTAAACCTGACAAAACCCAAGTCCTCGTCATCAGGTGCAACAGCCTCCTCATCCCCAGGCAGTGATTCCCACTCGACGGGGGCTGGTAGCAGTGGCCAGCAGGAGCAACCCCTGGCAGCAACAGCGCCCAAACTCTTTCCCCCAGGTCTCCCCATCCCCCGAAATTACCTTCCCTCACTACCCTACGGCGGCCTTCCCCCGCACTTGAGCACATTATCATCACCAATGGGCAAAGTCATGGTGAAAGAGGAATCCGGGGCTGGTGGATCGGCAGCAGTGGAAAAACACTTTGCAATGCACGGAATGTACGGTTTACCGCCAAGTACCAATGCCATACCATCATCACCACAATCCCAACGACCGATTAAACACTCGAGTAGTCGAGATGAGCCAACCCAAGAGGAACAGGACTTCCTGTCGTCTCCTCATCTCTGGAGAGATCAGTCTTATAAGGTATTGGAGGACAACACCGAGAAAGCAAAGATGGTGAGACAGCAGAAGAGGGAGAACGAGAATAAACCACATATCAAGAGGCCGATGAATGCTTTCATGGTATGGGCGAAGGATGAACGGAGGAAAATTCTTAAAGCCTGTCCTGATATGCATAATTCCAACATATCAAAAATTCTTGGTGAGATACTATTTTTTTTGTTTCAAAAGTCATTCGTATTTCTTTTTGATTCGTATTGCTTTCATAAAAAAAAAAAAAAAAAAAAAAAAAAAAAAAAAA